GATAGTTGGAGCCTTTTTATATCAAATACACCTCTGATAATACCATCATCTATGATTATTTGAAATATAGATCATGTATACTGAACCCATTTCTGGAAGTAATTGGGAAGAGCTAGAATGTCACTGGAAGTTGGCTGTTCCTTGCTATTTAAGATTATTGTAAACAAGAATTGGCCACTTTTCAGAGTAACAATGGTGGAAGACCAACAGTTTGACATATGATTGATACAAATAAGTCATTGGTATTTGATCCTGTCCAAAATGTTTATTGAGAAATTTGACCTGTAACAAATGATCCTTTAACTTGGGTCCTAATTCTCATACTTAGAAAACACTCCTGACTTTAAAAGTCCATGGAGACAGTTTACACTTTTGATTTATAGGCTTAATTAAAAAAAAGGGTACTCTCTTGTTCTATTTGTCCAATAACTGTTTTGCAATTGTATTGCCAGTAACAGCCCTTTTTGCCTTGATAGCCTAACTGGTAATGTCAAATGGGATTATGTAGATGGAATGGATATAAATACTATAGAAAAGTGAGATTTATATTAGCTATGTATAATGAGGAAGAATCTTACAGTTTAAAAAGCACACAGATGACAAGTAATGGATGGGATTTCATGATGCATGGTATGTTCAACTGTCACTGGGCATTTAGTTGGATGTGACTAGCTGATCAATAGGAGTGGAGTTTTAATGAAAGAGGTTGATCAAATCACTATGTGAAACAGAATAGGGACATTGACATAAGCACTTTATGAAATATCTTGATTGTTCATTGCTCAGGAAAGGTGAGAACAGGAGTTACTCTCCAGCTACAAATTAGTGATGTGTAGTAGCTACCATGAAGGGAATGCCAGGCTTCGGACTAAACAATGTGCAACTCTTTGTTCACGGGCAATATTTTTTAAATTCACATCATATATAGCTACTTTAGTGATAAAGCATAAAAGAGGTCTGAAACTATTTGAAGTGGTTACAGTGGGTTGACTTCCACCATAACTAGCTATGAGAGTGGACCACCACATGCTCATCTGGTGCCTATCCACTAGTAGCCACAACTCATACAAGTAAGTGTCACATCCATAAGACATTAATAGTTTCCCATACCAGTAAACCAGCAACCATTATTATATGGCTTTCCCCTACCCCCAAAAAAGAAGAGCTTTCTGATGTTACCTGGCAATATGACGTTTTTATTTGAAAATCCTCAGTGAAATACAGCAGAAATTGTACAGTCATAGAAAGAAAAGCCAGTGCAAAATTATAATGGTTTTGGTTACTATTTCTATTCTTTTAAAAGGTACTGGTCCTTCAAGAGAGAATAATCTGCAATGTCCAATATAAAACTGGTCAGGATTTGGTAACATTACAATTATTCAAAATGGGATTAAAAAACATACCATACAGGGGCCTCCCCCGTGGTGCAGTGGTTGAGTGCTGGGTTGTGAAGCTACCCGCAGCCTCTGCAGCACCGGTTCAATCCCCAGGCCACCAGACGAGGATCCCACATGGCACGTAGACCTCTCCTGCTGCCCACTGTTCCCCTCAGCAGTGTACTTCATCAGTCTGCCTGTTCTACTCTCCTCTCTGGCTCTGGTGAATTCTCTCACCCTCCCGCGCTTCTGACTGTACCCAGTGTTTGTATAAATAAATAAATAAATCTTAAAAAAAAAAATACCAGTACAACACTGGTCAAAGAGAAAATAAGAAAAACCTTGAAAAGGTTAAAAAAATATGCAGAAAAAGAAACATCATCATCTCAGATACTTGAAAGAACTCTGAGATGTTCACAGTGGAGAGATCTTGTTGGTGCCACCAGAAAGAAATTCATTAAAGAGACAAGTAAATTTAATTTAAAATCAACATCAACCTCCAAACCCAAACTCATAGCAAGGAATTGAAATTCTAGAAAAGTATAAAGTGACTAGACAGGAAGAATCATGTCTCATGCACAATTCCAGTACTCAAGATGATGAAAGAAATCTAAATGATACAACTTATGACAAATTTTTATGGTTTTTGTTTGTTTGTTTGTTTTAAGATTTATTTATTTATACAAGCACTGGGTACAGTCAGAAGCGCGGGAGGGTGAGAGAATTCACCAGAGCCAGAGCGGGAGCAGAACAAGCAGAGTGACGATGTACACTGCTGAGGGAAGCAGCAGGCAGCAGGAGAGGTCTGCACACCATGTGGGACCCTTGCCTGGGGAGTGCAAACTGGTCCAACCACTATGGAAAGCTGTGTGGAGATTCCTTGACCTACTAAACATAGAGCTTCCATATGATCCAGCAATTCCACTCCTAGGTATTTACCCAAAGGACACAGAAACATCAGTTCCAAAGAGCACCTGCACCCCTATGTTTATAGCAGCACTGTTTACAATAGCTAAGCCTTGGAAACAACTCAAATGCCCAAAAATAGATGACTAGATTAAGAAGATGTGGTACATATACACCATGGAATATTACTCAGCATTCAAAAAAGGTAAACACACGCAATTTGCAGCAACATGGATGGCGCTGGAAGGGATCATGCTCAGCGAAATAAGCCAGAAAAAAAAAGAAAAATACCAGATGGTCTCACTCATAGCAGGAATCTAGAAAACTTAAATAAGGGACCAGGAAAAAGAATAACTATAATAAAGAAAAAAATCAAAATCAACAAACAACTATGAACCAGAGACACAGTATGGGGGGTGGGGGTGGGGTAAGGAGGGATTGTCATCAAAATAAGGGAGTTGTAATTGTATGGGTAATATAAAAATAAAATTTAAATTAAAAATAATAATAATAAAAAATAAAAAAATAAAAGCCAGTGCCACATTATTTGGTGACTAGACAGACATGCAAACAGTGTCAACAAAGTTCACTCAGTTTTCACTGCACATGGCATAGTATTGCATTATATGACACTGTTGATTTATGCACTAACAAGGAAAAGATGAGAACACATGCATATATGATAAAGTACTTATATTTGCGTGGAAAGACATCTCAATATTATTGTACATGATTTCAAGATTGCAAATATGAAAATGATTCAACTGCTACAACCAAATTCACAAGTAAAAAGAAGCTTATTTAACTTTTCATAATTATCACATGAAAAGTATCTTCTTTGGACCTTACACATGAGTGTATGACAAAGAAAACCTGTAAGGTTGCATTCATGTTGTTTGGTCTTCTATCTTTGCCTTTGGAAGATGTAAATGAAAGTTTTGAGTACACTGTAGAGAATGAAGGTGGAAATTTAGATGACCCAATAGATTATGTTTAAGGTATTTTTTGTAAAGATTTGTTTATTTACACTGGGTACAGTCAGAAGCATAGGAGGGTTAGAGAATTCACCAGAGCCAGAGCAGGGAACAGAACAGGCAGACTGATGAAATACACTGCTGAGGAGAGCAGCGGGTGCAGCAGGAGAGGTCTGCGCACCATGTGGGACACTTGCCGGCGCCTGGGAATCGAACCAGCCCTGCAGAGGCTGCGGGCAGCTTCGCAGCCCAGCGCTGAACCACTTCACCACCAGGGGAGGCCCTGTTTAAGATATTTATGTCCACAGAATATGTGGCAGAGGAAGTTCCAAAATTGCCACCAGATAGTGAACATTGATCACATGATAAACAATGCTGTAGAAAGCTAGCAAATGAAATTTTGAAAGTTGATAGTTGTGTATTTTCTTCTGTTTGGAGATTTATTGAAATGTTTGAAAATGAAAGCAAAACAATGATCAAGTTTTCACCCAGGTTCTTGGTGATCACACTCAAATATAGTCATCAACTTCAAATGAGAAAAACAAAATTGATCTCATATAACCAAAATTGTTAATAGATATAGTGACTATAACACCAATAATCAGAATGATGTGTTCTCGAAAGAATCACAGACTTAAGATTAGCCCTGCCAAATGTGATGATGAAGAAGAGCAAGAATAAATGTGAAATCCAAAATTCAATCATGAACTACGATAAAAATAATGCAAATATAACTGTAATGAAGTCAATTGCTTCTATTATTGCTATTTAATGAGTCATGAACCAAATTTTGCTCACCAGTGTTTTGGATAAAGACAGTTTTCAAAGATTATTTTCATGGACCAAGAGTCCTTTTTTTCTTTTTTAAAGATTTATTTATTTATGCATACAAGAACTGGGGTACAGGCCAGAGGTGTGGGGGCTAAGAGGATTCACCAGAGAGAGAGTGGGGAACAGAACAGGCAGACTGACAGAAATACACTGCTGAGGGGAGCAGCGGGCAAGACAGGAGAGGTCTGTTGTGCCATATGGGCTGCTCCTTGGCCGGGGATCAAACTTGTGCTGCAGAGACAGGACTGCTTCAAAGTGCTGTGCTTAACCCCTTATGCCACCAGGAAAGCCCTCCTTTTTTTTAAAGATTTATTTATTTATGCATACAAAAACTGGGGTACAGGCCAGAGGTGTGGGGGAGTGAGAGGATTCACCAGGGACAGAGTGGGGAACAGAACAGGCGAGTTGACTGAAATACACTGTTGAGAGGAGCAGTGGGTGTGTCAGGAGAAGTCTGATGTGCCATTTGAGTCAGCTACCTGCCTGGGATTTGAACTCGTGCTACAGTGTCAGCAGATAGCTTCATGGTGCTGCATCTTAACCCCTTGCACCACCAAGTATCCATTTTAGACAGAACCACTAAAAAGCAAATTTTTGTCATAGACCACAAGTTTCAATGGACTATTTAACAGGACCAGGTTGCCTATAAGTTAATGGACTCTTTCCTTTTTCCCAAGGTTTTTGTATAGATTACCAGTAACTAAAAGTGACAAAGATGTAGGTAGATCTGGGAAACAAATAATGCAAATAAAATAGATACAAGAAGTCTGGGTAAAAAAAGAACAATGGATGTAGAATAAAGTAATAAATGAACTGAGAATGATATGAAGATATATTTAAGATTAGGACTATGTGGGGAAATTCAAGTAAGATGGGCCCTGTATTTGGAGACTCACATGTCCCAGTGCTGGGGTCACTGAGTGAAAGCTGGCTTCCTACTGAAGAGGGCCCCCAAGGCACCCTTCATGTCACTGTTACGTAGACTGTAGATGAAGGGGTTCATCATGGGAGTGACCACAGTGTACATTACTGCAGCAACTGTGTCTTTCTGAGCCGTGTGGGAGGATGTGGGGCTAAAATAAACCCCAATGAGTGTTCCATAGAACATGGTCACCACAGAGAGATGAGAGCCACAGGTGGAGAATGCCTTCTGCTTTCCCTTCGCAGATGGGATCTTAAGCACAGCAGAGAATATGCGTGTGTACGAGATCAAGATGCCCATGAAGGGCGTGAAAACAAATAAACTACCTATACTATATACCATTGCATTGTTGAGAAAGGTATCAGAGCAGGCCAGCTTCAGCAGAGGGCTGAGATCACAGAAAAAGTGGGGGACCTCATTGTGGGTGCAGAATGAGAGGCGGGTCAGTAATACAGTGTGGGTCAAGGCATTCATGACTGCTGCAGTCCAGGATGCTGCCACCAAGAGGATACACAACTGTGGTGTCACAGATGTGCCATAGTGCAGAGGATGACAGATGGCAGCATAGCGGTCATAGGCCATGGCAGCTAGCAGTAAGCTGTCGATGTCAGCAAACACAATGAAGAAGAATGTCTGAGTCAAACAACCAGCATAAGGGATCCCTTTGTGTCCTGAGATGTGATTGGCCAGCATCTTGGGGATGGTGGTGGAGGTGAAGCAAATGTCCACGAAGGCCAGGTTGGCCAGGAAGAAGTACATGGGGGTGTGGAGTCGGGTGTCAGTGACAATGGCCAGGATGATGAGCAGATTCCCCAGCCCTGTGACCAGGTACATGCTCAGGAAGAGTATGAAGAGCAGCTGCTGTTGCTTGGGATTGTCTGAGAGTCCCAAAAGGATGAATTCTGAGACTTGGGTGAGGTTTTCCCCTCCCATGGTCATCCTGCATCAATCAGAAATGAAAAGGTTGGTTAGCCATTGTCCTAACCAAGACCAGCCCCTCTACTGCATCTAGATTCTATCTCCTCTTTTAGCTCAGACACTCATCGATTCTGCACACTATCTCTTGCAATAGGATTTCCCACCCATATGCTGCATTATTTCCATCACTAAACATATTCATTCCCTACAGCCCACCTGCAAGATACCTCTGTATCTTGTAAACAACTCCCAATAGAATGACTATTTCTCACTTCTACTAACTCTGTCACTGCCTCAGGGATTCATCTGTCCACAGGATAAAGCTCAGCATGCACACAGGTAATTTGGAAGTACTGGAAATTACAGCCTGAGACTAACTTTTGACCATCATGAGATAAAGCTTGTTGGGTGACTCCTGAGTGAGACGGTTCTGGGTTGTGTTCCACGGTTTCTCAGGGATTCCAAGAGATCATTCTAAATGTTCTGAGTGAAACTGTTCATCCACAAACTCACTTCCCCAAACATTCTCCTAGGGCATTTCCCTACATAAACTACTTGCAGTCAAATTCTGACTCAGAACCTGCTTTAGGGAGAATCCAAAATAAGACACAAGCATCCAAAATTTCTTTTTCCTGTGAAAGACCCCATCTTCATCCTAAATACCTTTCCAACAGCTTTCCCCCCGTTCTCTGTTCCATTGACTTTATAGTGTCCAAAATCATCACCTAGCCTTTCTTTTCAAGAGCAATCGTGTCTACTCTTGCTAAAACAGTACTAGACTATATCCAGTGTATACCAGTACAGTTCTCCTGTTGCTAAAACCCAGAAATATCAGGCACAAAGTGGCAAATACCCTTACAAGTCTTTCAAAGAATAGTCAAATTAATTAACCACAAAATGATTATATAAACTTAAAGTCTTTAGATAATTGCTTTTGAATGTTGCAATGTACTTTGCTTTATGTGCACCATTTGAGAAACATTTGAGCAACTGCTTGCTAATTACACCACTGTCACTGTGAGCAGTGTGGTTGTAGTTCTGTGAAATACTATGCTCTAAGAAAGACATCAGTTTATCATTATCCTCAAATTTTGAGATCTGTCCTTGTTTTAAATAGTTGTGAATTACTTTGGTTTTCATTGTTTGTACGTAGTGATGATTTTTGTTTAAGTTGTGTGTGATGTTTTGATAATTGTAAATTTAATTGTAATCTAACATTAAAATAGAGCATGAGAATGAACAGCAACAAAGTTCAAGTAAACCTCTTACTGTTCCCATTAAACACCATGCTGTACACTGTGGGTTTTGTGGAGAGCAGAGAACAAAGGCTATTCACAGTGACTTGAAGTCCTGGAATATCTGAAGTTGAGGCATCAAATCAACCTGGAACAGTTTCGCCGCTGTGTAAGACTCATGGCAAAATATAGCAATTTATATTTGTAAGTTTTTTTTTTTTAAATAGAGGCATGTTTTATTTATTTATTTGTTTGTTTGTTTTGTTTATACATGCACTGGGTACAGTCAGAAGCACGGGAGGGTGAAAGAATTCACCAGTGCCAGAGCGGGGAGCAGAGCAGGCAGAAGGACCGAAGTACACTGCTGAGGGGAGCAGCGGGCGGGCGGCAGGAGAGGTCTGCGTGCCATGTGGGACCCTCCTCCGGTGGCCGGGAGCAGCCAGGGATCAAACTGGCGCCGCAGAGGCCGCGGGCAGCCTCGCAACCCAGCGCTCAACCACTGCGCCACCGGGGAGGCCCGCAATTTATATTTGGAATAAACAAGAAATTAATTTTAAAATAAAAATATGAGTGCAGAACTGTGTGAAAAAGTATAAAGTTTCCTCAAAATTTTAAAATAGAACTCACTTATGACCCAGCAGTTAGGTACAGCAATGGATGGATTATCCTCCATCCTCTATTATTTGTGATCTCTGGGCCTGGAGCAGCAGAAACTTCTCCCTGTTCCCTCTGCCTCCTGCCTGGTTTCTCTCCTTCTCTGCCCAGGAGTACACCCTGTCTCACTTCCTTGTTAATTCTCAACCACTTACAGAGCATCTTCAACAAGGCTTTCTCTAAATGTGGAAGTTTTTTTTTTTAAGATAGACTGATTTATTTTTTTATGTATTTATTTATGCATATAGGAACTGGGGTATAGGCCAGAGGACGGGGGAGTGAGAGGATTCACCAGAGAAAGAGTAGGGAGCAGAACAGGCAGGTCCACCGAAATACACAGTTGAGGGGAGCAGCAGGCAAGACAAGAGAGCTCTGCTGCGCCATGTTGGTTAGCTCCCTGGCTGGTGATCGAACTCATGCCGCAGTGACTGGCAATAGCTTCATAGTGCTGAGGCAACACCTGTGCCACCAGAGAAGCCCCTAAATGTGGAATGAATTCTGAGTCTCCTCTCACCCCAGCAGCATATGTGAAAAAGGAAACCATAAAAGTAAAACATCAAGTAACACAGTTCTGTACATGTTGGGGATACACGAATGTGTACATCATGTAAACTCTTACCCTAACAACAACAAAAAGCTCAGCCAGCCTATCCCCAAAATGGCCAGTCAACAAAGTAAAAGATGCTCACCCTCACCAATAGCCAGGTATACATCATATTGAGATGCAGCTTCAAGCCCACCACACCAACCAGAGCCGGACCCCCCAGCGCTGCCTGCTGGGCAGCAGCAGTGCTCACACACAGGCAGGAGCTGCCTGGGATGGACACTGGAGGGAGAGCTGGAAATACCGAATGAAGCTGAAATTGTGGGTTCCCTGTGATCTCGCAAGACTACCACACGGGATTTCCTCAAAGGCGGACATGAAGCACACTTAAGGATATTTGGAAAGAGGGAGGAACATCAAATATGATATCCCACCAGTGGACATTTCCATTGTTATAAAAGTGGAAGAAATGTGGAGCTGTTAGCACTAACCTGACTGATTATCACAGGCCTGGGCAAAAGAAGTAAAATCACAGAAGTGTGTGCACAGAGCCCATCAATTCCGTAAAGTTAAAAATCCTACAACACAGTTCTTTGTTTTGGTGGATACATGAATGAAAACATCATGTAAACTCTTACAGCTCAACCAGGGACTGCCCCATCCTCTGTGACTTGTGTGCTCTGGGTCTCTGGATCAGGAGAGGCAGTCCCTCACCTGCTACCCTGGTGTCTGAATGGTGAGCTTGTGCATGAGAGTGAAACACTTATTACAGAACGTTGGTTATAAAAGGGGAAGGGGTTGTGTGGTGAATAGAATGGGCCAGCAGAATTACAATCTGTGTTTTTTCTGACTGCCCAAAATATGCAAACACATGCACACATACGCACACCCACACACCTGTCATTGTCCCCACCTACCTTCAAGGAGTGCACTAGGAGGGAGAGGGTCAAATGAGTGGGCAAGCGAATGGTGGGTCTCAGTCCCATTCTCTGGTCACAGTAACTGTTCTGGATCTCCCAGCACCAGGGTCCATGGAGCACCCTTGGGTGCCTCACCTTTGCTGAACTTGCTCAGGTTCCACAGGCCCTGACCCAAACCCAACTCAGCGTGTGCCCCAAAGCTGTTCTTCCTCTATACCCAAGCTCAGTGCTGACCCCTCTGCCCTCTGCTCAACCAGACCAGACATGCAGGGCTCCTTCTACCCCACTCAGTACATCCTGATGAATTTGCCACTCTTCATCCTGTACACCACTCCTTCCCAGCACACCAGTAGATTCTCATCTTGTCACTCTTAGATGCCAAACCTGCCCCTTTTTTGTTTCTTTGGCTGCAGGCTAGCTCTTCCTATCTCCACCTCACAATAACCACCACCATGATGAAATGACCTGCCTCTCCCTCCTTTAAAATCCTTCACCAACTCCACATTACCTGATACTAATAGCATTTCTAATAGTATTTCTTGTTTGCTTCCTGGACACCTGACACATGCCAAGGAGTTTGATATGCTTCCTCTTACTCTAAGATTCTCTAAGATATGTATTCCTACCTCCTCCACTTATAGGAAGAGTTTTAGAGGAAAAGATCAACCATCCTGTGTCTCACCATCTCTTTTTTCAAAGTTCTTCAACTCTCTGATGCAACTCCAGAGGCTGGAATCTCTTATATACACGGAGCACTTTCATTTTATTTTGTTTATATTATACAGACAAATGTACTGAGCCCAGAGAGGCAAAGCCACTTCCCCAAGGCCATACAGCAGGCCTGGTTAATGACACCATGGCTTCCTGCTTGCTGTTTCATTTCTCTGTACCTCATCCTCTCCCCCCACTCACCTGTGGAAGGTGTCCCTTCTGTCTGTGAAGATATCTGAAGGAGGTGAGCCAGCTCTAGCTGGGAGTGTTCTAAGTTGACTTGAAGGCAGGTCTTTGGCTCCATAGGAGGATCACGAGGGCCTGGAAGAGTCCAATTTACCTTCTATCCTCACTCCTCATGTTTAGTCCCTGGTGCCTTGTTAGGGCTTATGCTAATTGTCCGCTCCACACTCCATCCCTGCTTGCACCATCCTCTTGGGGGGGTGGGAGGGTACTGCTGCAGGTCGTTCTGGGCTTTTCTTTCCGTTCCTGAGTTAGGGTGGTGGGCACCCTGGGACATTTTGTGGTACTTCCCAGTGGAAATCCCCCAGCTCTAATGGATCCACCCAACTGCTGGATACACCCATTGCTCTTCAATGTGGGTAGCAATGCCTGGTAACATTTATATTTTAGTTGAAGCAAGTCAGATAACATAAAACTAAATATTTTAAAGTGAAAGATTCAGTGGTATTTAGGACATTTACAATGTTGAGCAACAACTACCTCTGCATAATTCCTAAACATTTCATCACCCCAAAATAAATTTTCTATTTATTAGTGCAATATCCCATTCCTCTCCCCCAACCCCTGACAGCCACTAATCTATTTTCTGTCTATGAAATAACCTGTTCTGGACATTTCCGTAATAGAGCCACACACTATATGACCTTTTCTGTCTGATTGCTTCCCCTAGGTAAGTATACATGTACATGTGTAGATTCTTCTACACAT